TGTAGAACTTGTCTTTATGAACTATGTTAGGCCAGTTGACATAGATGTCTCCTGAGCAGTATTTGGTTTTAAGGTTATTACTTGGATAATCCAGGATATCCTTATATTAACTTTTTTCAGTTGATTGAGAGGAAAACACAAAATTTTAAATTGCTTATAGAACTTGATACTCAGGGATCTGTTTGAGAAACAGTGGATCAAGGTACCCTACTCCTAATCTTTTCTTTCACCTTAGAATCTTTTTTTTTTTTTTAAAAATTTTTTTTTTTTTTTTTTTTTTACATTTATGATTTCGGATCACGCCCTTAGAAATTTCTGAAGCTAATATAAGACATCGCATATGGATGGTGATGTTGTTGTTATTGTTGTTGGGTGTCGTTGAGTTGATTCCAACTTATAACGAGTCCGTGCGACAGAGTAGAACTGGTTTTCTTGGCTGTAATCTTTACGGAAGCAGGGCCCCAGGTCTTTCTCCCGTGGAGCCGCTGGGTGGATTTGAACTGCCAACCTTTTAGTTATCAGCCTCTTTATTTTCTGTTTCTATTGAGGATATTGGCCATTAGTTATTGAGTATTTTGTACAAAAAGGTCCCTATGATTGATTCTTTTCAAAGTTCAGGTCTAGAACAAATTTCTGATGAGCTACTGTTTTCTTCTGGTGGAATAACCCAGCCTACAGAGAATCCCTCTTTACCTTGCCTGCTAGGAGACTCAGAATAAAACTTTGTTTTCACTGAAGTATCTTGTATTCTGTTTTATTGGTTTAGTTTTATTTTGTAGTGTTTTTCCTATAAACTCCTTCAAATCCTTTTTTGAAAGGAGTTAGGGCTGTAAACGTATAAATAGAGAGTTGAATAGTGGTAGGACCTTGGATTAGGATGGGAAAGATTAGAAGAAAGCAGAATTCCCAAAGAAAGAAGGAAGAGGAGAGGGTCAGGTGAAAAAGATATGAAGGTAAGAGTCAGAAAAGAAGATGAAAAAGTCTTAGAGCACTGCAAGATTTCAGGAGAGAGGGAAAGGGTTAAATAAAGTTGGCCACAGGGAAGGGTGCTTTCCCAAGCAGGTCCTCAGTTTTCCTCCCCATGTCTGGACCGGGGCCTTATCCGAGTAGGCCTAACATGGAGGGCAGTGTTCTTGAGCTGAGGCTTCCTTCTCTGGTTCTGGCCCCCACAGGTTTGGCCCCTACTACACTGAGCCCGTCATTGCTGGGTTGGACCCGAAGACCTTTAAGCCCTTCATTTGCTCTCTGGACCTCATTGGCTGCCCCATGGTGACTGACGACTTTGTGGTCAGTGGCACCTGTGCTGAACAAATGTACGGGATGTGCGAATCCCTCTGGGAGCCCGACATGGTGAGTTGGTGGCATGGGGCAGGGTAGGGTGCTGAGGCACCCACTCCTTGGCCATCAGGAAAAAATGTGTTTGCATGGCAGGTAATGGGGAGAGTGACTCAGGTAGGTGAGTCAGCCATAGCTGTTAATACTTGAGTGTCTGTCCAGAAACACTGTCTGTCTAGGGCCTTGGTGCTGGCTGGCTGGCTCGCTCCAGAGGAGAGCACCTTCTGTTAGGAGGCCCCAGTCAGATATTTGCTAAAACAACAAATAATTCCTCACATTGGGTTTACAAGTTTCTCACATCCACTCACTGAGCAAGCATTTAACAAGGTGTGTAGGGTCAGAGGCAGCACAACCAAGGGGCTCTGGAGCCAGGCTGTGTGGGTTGGAAACCTGGATCCACTGGTCAATTAGTTATGTTCTTGGGTAAGTCACTTTACCTCTCTGTGCCTCAGTTACCTCAGCCGTAAAGTGGGGATAACAATAGAGCTTACCTTACAAGTGTTGTTGTGAGGGAAGCATATGAAAAGAGGTTAGAATAGTGCCTGACACACAACTGGACTAAACCAAAGCTAAGAAGTTTCCTGAATACAGTGAAACAGTTCGAGGGACAGAGTAGCAGGGGCGGGGGTCTGGGGATCATGCCTTCAGGGGACATCTAGGTCAATTGGCATAACAAAGTTTATTAAGAAAATGTTCTGCATCCTACTTTGGTGAGTGGCGTCTGGGGTCTTAAAAGCTAGCAAGCGGCCATCTAAGATGCATCGGTTGGTCCCTACCACCTGGAGTAAAGGAGAATGAAGAACACCAAAGACACAAGGAAAGTATTAGCCCAAGAGACAGAAAGGGCCACATAAACCAGAGACTTCATCAGCCTGAGACCAGAAGAACTAGATGGAGCCCGGCTACCACCAGTGACCGCCCTGACAGGGAACACAAGGAGTACCAGATGGAGTAGGAGCAAGGTGGGGTGCAGAACTCAAATTCTGGTAAAAAGACCAGACTTAATGGTCTGACTGAGACTGGAGGAACCCCAGAAAGCATGGCCCCTGGACTGTCAACCCAGAACTAAAACAATTCCCGAGGCCAACTGTTCAGGTAAAAGATTGGATTAGACGTGGGACATAAAATGATACTCGTGAAGAGTGTGCTTCTTAGCTGAAGTAGATACATGAGACTAAATGGGCAGCTTTTGTCCGGAGGTGACATGAAAAGGCAGAGAGGGTTAGGAGCTGGTTGAATGGACACGGGAAATCGGGTGGAAAGTCACAGTATACGGAGAGCAATTAGGGTCACAAAACAGTGGAACAGTATAAATTTTTGTATGAGAGACTAACCTTGAAATGTAAACTTTCACTTAAACTACAACAATAAAAAAATAAAGAATAGTGCCTGACAGTGAAGGTTGGCTTGTATTACCATTGAGTGCCACTCTGCCGGGCTCTGGGAAACTAGTACAGGCTCTGTCTTTGAGGAGCTTACCGCAGTCTAACGAAGCAAGACAGACACCCAAATACCTGTTAAAATGCAGTTTGCCCAGAAGAAGAGAGGAGAAGGGGCCTTGTTGGTAGAAGGAACAGCCTGTGCAAAGGTACAAGGGTGGCCTGGTGTACTTAGTGACTGGAGAGCGCTCCATGTGGCTGAAGTGTGGGTAGAATATGGGGTGAGATGGAGAGCAAGATTGGGATGAGACTTTGAAGAGCCGTGAATACCATGCCAAAGAGTTTGGGCTTTTTCCTTAGGCATGGTGCCAAAAGAAATAAGGAACCAGGGGGACCAGAGGCCTGCAGGTAGATGAGACAGACTATTGCAGTCACATGCAGAAGGTGCTGAGGTCCTGAGTGAAGATAGTGGCAATGGGGAGCGGGCAGGGGTTAGGGAGGTAGAGATGCTGAAGAGGGCTGAGTTTTCTAGCTAACAGGTTTGGGGCAAGACAGGCTGATGGTTGGACAGGTTGAGTTTGAGGTACCTGTGAGACATCCAGTGGGGAGTCCATCTGACAACTGATAAAGCACATGGGAGCCAAATAGAGTTGTCTCCTTATTTTACAGAAGAGGAATTGAGGCTCAGTGAAGGGGTATGTGACTTTTGTAAGATCACACCGCTGTTCAGTGGAAGAAATTTGGGACTTGAAATTTTCTGGGTCTCTTTCACTGTCCCTTACATAACCCTGCCTCCTTCCAAGGAAGGAGCTGAGGGGGCTTCCACACTCAGGGAACCATCCTTCACTTCAGGCCCCAGAGGGCCTTGAGCCTAGAAAAAAGGGAGTTAAGCAGCCAGACAGAGTTAGGGTCCTGAGGCCCTGGGGTTTGAAAGGGTTCTACTGTCTTGGCAGGATCCAGAACACTTATTTGAAACCATCTCCCAAGCCATGCTGAATGCCGTGGATCGAGATGCAGTGTCCGGGATGGGAGTCATTGTCCACATCATGTGAGTATGAGTTGGGAAAGGTCTAGAACTTTGCAGACACCTTCCTTTTCCCTCACAAACACACACCCAGTCTTCCCTGCCCGCTGGACAGCTGTGAAATTAAGAAAGGCGCTTGTGGCAGTCACAGATAGCAGAGATCCATGCTTACCTAAGGGTAGCAGCTGGGAGCCTACAGGCTGGCTGTGGGCCAGATTCCCCAGCCCCTGTCAGATGAGCCTCCACGACCCTGAGTCTCTTCCTCTTGCTGACCATTGACATTTCTTTCCTTAACAGTGTCCCCAAAGTTTCAGATCTATGTAGGAATGAGCCATGGCAGAGCTGCTGCAGATTGATTGTAATCCTAGGCATGTCCCCATTCTCCCCCCCAACTCCCACCAGTCTGGAACCCAGAACTGTGTGACATGCTGAGCTCTGGAAACTATTTTCCAACCCCCAGCCAGCTCCCTAAGTGCCACCCCTCTTCCCCTTACTTGTTTGTAGCTGTCACTAGGGACCTGATTAGATGGAGTAGAAAGTGACCTCCTACCTGTTTTCCTTGGGGACATCCCAGAATAAGCATGTGGAACCTTTTTGTTGACTAGCCTGCTTAATTACCCTGATGATTAGATTGGTGCTGATGCAGAATTTACCATCCAGGTCCTTGCATGTACATTGGGCTGAAACACCTCACATCTTCTCCTTTTTTGTTCTTTAGGCCTGGGGAGCTCCTTCCCTTCTTTGGGGGAGTTCTCAGTCCAGGCCTGTATCATCTGGACTCTTAATGGTTCCACTTCTAGAAAACCTTCACTAGAGTCTTCTCATGTCTTCATTTTTGTCCGTCTGCCGCCACCCCCCCACATCTCTGGCTGAGGAAATAGCAATATTAATGTAACATGAGCAAAACGGTTAAACCAGAGCTAGCAGGACAGCTGTGTGTGGCGCTCCTTTCCTAGAATAGGTGTGAGACTTGAGGTGTTGGGGCCAGGGGCTGGGAGAGGGAGGCAGTCTAGCTGGTTATAGATGTTTTCTTGTGACTTTCTCCCTCTGCAGTGAGAAAGACAAAATCACCACCAGGACACTGAAGGCGCGAATGGACTAACCCTCTCTTCCTCCTGCATTCCCAAGCCCACTTTTTTTTTTTTTTTTTAATAAAATAGTTTTTCTTTCACTATTACCTACTGCTTCTTTGTCTTTGATGGTTTTACCACAGATCTCTGTACCACCAGCTGGGCAGTTAAAAATAGCTGCTCAGTGCTTAGCGCACCCCTCCAGTTTTCTTCTTGATACACCAGTGGACGTAATCTACCAATCGCTTGCTGGAAGCCTGCTGCATGCATTGCGCAGTGCCTTATACTTACTACAACTCGATCATCATAATGACTCGAGGTGTAGTGGGCATTATCCTTGTTTACAGATGTGAAAAGTGAGGCCGTAAAATTACTTGCCCAGGGCCACTTTAATAAGTGGTAGAACATGGATATAAACCTCTCGCCCATTTGACTCTAAGGCCTAGAATCCTTTTTACTGAACTATACTGGAAAATTCCTGAGTCTCTATTTGGTGTTCAGGTAGAAATGTGACCAAGTTCCCACAAGTTGTTTCCTTTTAGATCACTGTTTCTTAACGGTGGCTTGCACACTGGAATCACCTGGGTGAGCTTCTACTGATGCCTTGATCCCATCCTTTGAGGTTCTGACTTAAATGGCCTATTAAAGGGCCTGGACATCTGTTTTCTAAAGTTCACCAAATGATTCCAACATACAACCTGGAAAGTTTGCATTAGCATAGTGGTTCTCAAATGTTTATTATCTTCCATCGGAATCACCTGGAGGGCTTGTTAAACCATAGCTTCAGATTCCAGTACATCTGGGGTAGGACCTGAAAATTTGCATTTCTAAATGATTCCCAAGTGCTGCTGAAACTGCTAGTCCGGACCACACTTTGAGAACCACTAGGTTTTAAGCTAAAGACTATTTAGAGTCCAGATGGAGAACCTGAAGTACACAGAGGTGACTGGTTCAAAGTCAGCTACACGGCTAGTCAGTGGGAGAGCTGGGATGTGAAGTCAGGTGTCTGACAGCCAGCGTTCATTCCCCAGCTGGCGCAGTGCAGAGCGTGCTCTGTCCATTCCTCAGTGTGGTAACGACCGCTAACAAGGCAGACCGCCGGCTCCGGTGCTGTGCTCTTAGCTACTGCTTACTGTGCACCATCTGAAAGGGGGATGTCATTGACCACATTCTTCCGAACTCAAGCCATATACTGCTTTAGCCCAAGCTGTCTTTGAAAACTTGGACCAAAACTTTCATTCTGAAAAAAAAAAAAAAGAACTCCTTTCCAAAGGACTTACACATAACAGATGTACACAAAGCTTTTTGAGTTTTATTTTTTTCCTCGGGTTGGAGATTCATCTTAACATGCATGCATTTTTAAAACAGTAACAGGGTCTCGACCTGTTCCGAGCAGACATTAGACAAGCACAGAGGGCTGAAAATTCCTATTTAAAAAATGGAGATTGCGTGGGAAATTGAGAAATCACACACATGTGGTGGGGTAGTTGTTTATCCTGCTCCCCCAAAAGTTGAATCTAAACTTCACTCACATTTTTGATTGCAATGATCCGACCTGCTGCTGGGGTGTGCTGAGCAGCAGCGGGCCTCCCCCTAAAGGTTGTTGGCTCCCACCTCACAAAACGGCTCTGAGCAAGGGGAAGGGGGTCCTCCAGAAGTTTCCTCCCAAGCCTCCTTTCCTGGGATCTCAGCACAGCCCCTGGAGGGACACCTAGTCTCCCCTTCCCCTAGGGGGCACTGTTCATAAGCGGTGCATCTCAGAGGAGGGATAGGGCCTTGGCACTGCTGCCTGCAGAACAGCTGGTAGACTTGGGGGCAGCTGTGGACAGTTGTCTGAGTGCTGTGCTGAGTGCACAGGCCAGACCATCTCCCCACATTACTGCCAGACAGGTGAGGTCTCTAGACTTGGGGGGAGCCATAGGTCTAAGGCCAGAGCTCCAACGGTTGTTGAAACACACTGTCCCTTCTAGCCCCCAACATTTGAGTAGCTCAAGTGCTGGAGCGAGAAGCGGGGTGCGGGGAGGTGCTCAAGTTCTTTCCCTCTCCCAACATGAATTGGTGAAAATACAATTGAGGGGTGGGACTGGCTACTGAGAAAGTCCTGGGTCTTTGGTCCACCTCCCCAGGGCAGGCCCTGGCAGACTGTGAAGAGGGGAAAGTAACTAGGGCAGGAGTCTAGTCTCATGCCCTGAGCACTACCAGGGACTGTTTCAGGCCTAAAGCACAGGCAAGAAAGAAAGTGAAGCTGGAAGAGAGAGAAGAAGAAGAGCTGCCTGTGGTGGGAACTTAAAGAGTGCCACTGAGAACAGCCCCAGGGGCGACTCGTGGCACCTGCCACAGACCAGTAACCCCTGAGCTAGATAAGGAGAGACTGAGCGCGGCTTCACTCTGTGCTCCTGGAACTGCTGCTTCCCAGCATGCCCTGTAACCCCCAAACCACCGGGCATAGACAAGGAGCGTGTGCTGCGGAACACAAGACTCAGTGGTTAACAGGAAGAAGGGCCAGAGGCCTTCATCTAATGGTCTTCTGAGGAGTTTTCAGAGAACGCCTCACTTTGGCTGGGAGACTACAGCTTTTGGAGACGGATGGGAATGGGGGAAGTCGTGACCAGATGCTACTCCTTAGTTCGTGGAGTGAGAAAGGAGGAGAGGAAGCCTGCTCTTACCCCATCCAGGCCTCACCCAATCAGCCATGTCCTATTCTTATACCTTTGTTCTTGGGAGACCCTAAATGATTCTGGGATGCTATAAGACTCTTAGTTGTTCTTCATGGCCCCGAGGAGTGAGGTTGAGGATAGCCACTTGCCCTCAGAGGCATCTTACGGGAAGGGAATGGTGGGACACTCAAGGAGAAAAGACTGGGGGAGACAAAACCTTGGCGGTAAGTTCACTTTCTCTACATTCAGATTGCAAACCAAATAGAATATCATTTTAAAAAGAAGAAAAAGAAAAAAACTTGTATAAACCAAGATAAACAGCTTTTGAACATTTGAATGCCAAAGGAATTAGAAGACCAAACCCAAGGTTTTAAAGACAGCACAGAGTGAAAAAGGTGAACAACTTTAAAAAAAAAAACCACTAAAACATAGCTCAAATGTTTTGACCCAATCAACAATACTGTCAGAAAAACAAAAACAGCATTTGAAACAGAATGCTACCTCTCAAAATGTAAACAATATACAAAAAACAAAACAAAACAAACTCAATGTTAAACAAGTTAGATACCTGGTAGTTGTCTTAAATGATAAGATTGTGTTACACTTTTCATACACATTGTGGCAACATGATCAGCAGACCAAATGCAGAGAACTGGGTGGGAGCCCAAGGCTGTGGAGGCTGCCGGAGGGCAGCCTTCCAAGCTTTGGAGATGCTGAGCCTGACTAGGAGCAGACCCAAATTTTCATTCTTGATTATGAGGTGGGGAAATCAAGTCCAAAGAGTATTCCTACGCAATCCCTTTCCTAAGTCGAATTTGTTTTCTCCATGATCCACTTGGTTCCAGGTTCTTCCCCAAGTCGCTTAGTGGTCTTGCTGCAGATGTTCAGAGTTTCCTATGGCCCTTTGTAGGGGCCAAGGCAGTGGTTTGACCCCATCTGCCTCTTCCAGAAGGGTTTCCAACCCATCGGCAGCCCTGATGGAGTCCAAGAATGCTGTCTCCATTCCTTCCTGGCCTAAATGCTGTGGGAAGGCTCCCAAAGGTAGGGCACAGAGACAGTGCTGGTTCCTGCTCTGGAAGCTGAGCTTGGCCAGGTTTGAAGGGAGTCACAGGAAACCAATCCATTCACTTACAGTGATTCCACAAACCATCTTTGCATCTCTGGGGTATATACAAGTTTTACCATATCTCACCCCAAATCCCCAGTTCCTGGCAAGGGGTGAGAGGATGCAGGAATGTACCTCCCCCAACACAGAGCAATAGGACCTTTTTCTTTCCTCGCCAGTCCAGACTGCTCTGATGACATCACAGAATGACACACGTAGCTCAATTCTGAGGGCCTAGGCAGCAGTCTCTGAAGGTAGGTGGAAACCCTCAAAGAACCTGCAGGATGCCACTCCTCCTGAAGCAGCCAGTGGGTAGAAAACCTGCTGAAGTCGGGCCAAGTCAAACCCCGTATCAAGCCTTCAAATTGGATTTCCTGGGTCACATCTCAAGGGACTCAGAAGCAACTTCTCGCTTGGGTGCCACACTCCCCCAAGGAGGAGGGGCACCACTCCTTGCTGGCTGACCTTAGGAGTTCCAGGACTCTGTAACCATCCAGGTGACAAACCATAGGCACAGGAAGCCAGACGACTTATGTGGTAGCTACGGGGCTTGAAGAGGTATCTCTGCAAAGGGCACTCTGGGAGCTCGGAGCTCTGCCCCTGCTAAAAGCTCACACATGAGGGCTCCTGGGAGGAGGTCAGAGGAAGTAAATGGATGGAGGGCACAGACCTCATGGATACCCATCAGCTTCGGGGCTTTCCCCAAGGGGAAATAACCATTAAAACACCAGGGTCCTGTTATATCCAAGGTGCCTTCTAGTTCCTCTTGACCCAGTGGGAGGCCGACTTTAAAGAGAGGACATCTGAACTCCAAGGGCCACGGGTGCCCAGGGGCTTGGATGAAAATCATGGGGTTCTCTGAGAACCAGCTGTCTGAGAGGCCAGCAGCTCCCCACTCCTTTACTGTCCCGTGAGGGTGAACTTGCTCTCCTCTGAGATCTTTGATTCTGATTCAAGATGCCTGATGTTGACCTAGAGTGTTCCTTTGGGAGGACAGCATTTAGATGGAAGAATAATGTAACATTTCACTTGTATCAAAGGTGGAAAGGTGGAGGAAGTTGGGCACAATACTCCGTAAAATTAAAAAGTTAATCCAGACAAGATTAAATTGCAGGGCTGAGATGTCTGACCTCCTCTTCTCTCTGGTGTCAGAGAGAACTTTGTTCTGAGAGGACCCTTGGCACTGGTCTGTGGGGCACCTCTTTAATTGACAGGAACTGAGAGCTGGGCAGGGGTGGGGAGGGTGTATAGGGTGATGACATACATCATTATAAATAGCAAACCTGGAGCAACAAAATTTCAGAAACAAAACCCCAGTAAACCTGCAAAACCATCTCTAGCCCCAAGGTATCTTAGTAATAAAAAGGGAACCCCTTTTTAACCTGGGTCAAAGAGGAAAAAAAAAAATTAAGGGTGACGAGAAGGCGAGGTTACATCCTGTGAGCATGTGCACACAACAGCATACCCCCTCCCCTGAGCTAGAGTGTCTCTTTCAATGTCCCAGGCTGCAGCCCCATTGCTAAAGCCCTCCCCTTCCCCCGACTCTGGCTCCCCACCCTCTCATCTAGCACAAACACACCCTCTCCCGATCCCCGACCCCACTTTCAGCTCTCTGGCTCTGGCTGAAGGTAGAAGATAACTACGTCAGGATGTTGGACATGAACTCGTTGAAGCGTTTGGAGTACTGCTCAGGGTTCACAGTCGAGATCTCAGCCCCTGCCTGTAACACACAACAGACCGATTCAGGTCGAGTTCCTTGGCCCCAGTCAGGAAACATCTGGTAGGAGCCTGGGTATTTGCCACACAGTATTGGCATAAGAACTGAATACTACTCCAGGCTGGGCAGGCCACCTTGGGAGGTGGTTCACATGTCTTAGAATTGCTCTGGCCTCACTTGCCTGATTCACAACCCCAAGCCCCGCAGCCATGGAAGTAAGGGAGACGTGGTGGGGAGGAGGTAGAGGCTCTGCATCTCTGTGGGGGCCCTTGTTTGGAGAACCATAGACTAAAGTCCATGGGGAAATGGGCCTGTGGGGCGCAGAGTGGGCATGTAAACAAAGCTGTTACTGACTGCTCAACAAGATGCACAACATGCCCAGAAACCCTGGGGAGAGGAGCTGGTGGGCTCAGGGCCCCAAGGGCCAGAGAACCGGGGGAAAAACAAGTTGGGCATATGGCTGGCAGAGAGGGGGTGGGGTGTAGAAGGCAGAGAACACAAGGCGATACAGACAGGCTGCTCTTCCCATTCTCTGCCTCCGCAGGGAGGAGGGGGCGAGGAGAGCGTTCCCTCAGAGCAGGAGACCTGGCCCACCCTCCCTGAGGGCCTGAGGTGGATACGGGGCCCACAGGCGCCGCGCCCCGGGTGAAAGTGGGAGAGCTCACCCCGTGCTTCACGGTTTTGGCGGCGTGTGCAGCCTTCTTCTTAGCATCATACGGCGTGAGGATGTCGATGACGGCCATGAAATAGACCTCCTTCTTGGGGGCGCCTGGCGGGAGTGGGGAGCAGGAGAGGAGGGAGAGTGCCAAGGAGAAGACCAGAAAGTAGTCGAGTCACCCCCATAACCCTCAGATATGAAACTAGATCTGTTCCTGTAATTCTGGATCTGACAGAAGGAAGGACCAACTGGGCCCTTCTCAGAAGCTTTCATAGCTCTTATCTCATTTGATCTTCACAGCCACCCTGTGGGGTTGATGCGACAGCATGTACACAAGGTTCTGTCCATCCCATTAACCCCAGCAGTACCAGGTCTCATCATCTAAGACAGGCGGAGAAGGGAAGGAACCCCAGAAGACATAGTTACAGGTAGGGACCCAGTAAGGGAGCCTGGAGGTTGAAAGGGGCCAAAGTCAGCCGTGACGGGGGTAGAGACCAGACACCCACAGGTGCCACGCCAACAACGGGCCTGAAGGGGATGGGACTGGGGCCGGGGTGGGCAGGGCAGGTACCGGCTCCTACTTACTTTCATGGCTCTTCATGGCATAGACATCAACAGAGGGGTCGAATTCCCCAGGGCCAAAGAACCGGGGGAAGCTGAGGAGGTTGCCAGGGCTATCTGGAGGTGTGCCATAGGAACAGAGCAGGTTGCCGCCCACCCCATCATTCTCACACTCCTCGTCCTCTGCCCGCTCCTCCACCTCCATCTCTTCCTGCTCTGCCCGGTCCACGTCATGAATGCCCACCAGCAGGCTGTAGTCCATGATCTTCAGCTGGGCCAGGAACTAAGGGAAGGGAGGGAGGGAAAAATGAAAAGAAGTTACATGGGACAGCTGAGTGGCATCTAGAAAGGGGGAAGGGATATTCCTTTCCACTCAATTCTACACACAGTTCTGAGATACAACAGAGAATAAGACACCAGAGTCTCTGCCCTCAATGAGCTCAGTGTCCAATGGGGAAGAAAGTTATTCAACAAGGGCAACGAGCTATGGGACATGACAGTAGGGACTGAGAGAAGGCCTCCCTGAGAAAAGGAGTTGAGGAGGATGAGGAACGAGTCAGGAATAGAGGTAGAAGGAGCACTGCAGGAAGAGAGAGCAGCCCATAATGGTCTAGAATCAAGAAAAGCCATGGAAAAGGTCATCCAAGGTCGAGAAGGGAGAGTGTTGACATGTCATAAAACAATATATGTACTGACTGTTTAATGAGAAACTATTTGTTCTGTAAACCTTCTTCTAAAGTACCGTAAGAAAAAGAAAAAGAAAAGCCATGGAGAGTTTGAGGAAACAAATAATGGATTGTTACACTGCACGGAGGCTGGAGAGATGGATGCAACATAGCATGTCTTTCAAACACAAATATCAACCCATTGTGAGTTCTAAACCCAACTGAGCGGGTTAGGACTATGCCAATTCACAGCAATCCTGTAATAAATATGATAAAAGACAACAGAAAATATCAGAGTGCATCACATGAAGTAAGGGTAGATAGTGTTCCAGTTATATGTGTGTGTGCTGGGTTGCAAGCTAGAGTGTACTTCTTACCAGGGGTCACAGTCAAAGTCTGAAAAACTATGCAATTCAGCTTCCTTATCAATAGGATAAAAATGCGGAGAAGGGGAAAAAGAACACCACATAAGAATGACAGCCAGAGCCAACCAACATTCTGAAGCCCTTCCCTGAAGGTCAAAAGACGCTGTGTGGTGCTGGTGGGGAAGGCTGGACCCCTCCCAGCACTGTGTGACTTCTGTGTAAGCACATGGTGTCTCAGGTCCCTTCATTTAGGATTCCATGACTTGGAGAAGAACAAAGAGCGTGGGACTGATACTGGATTGAAATGGCCAACCTGCACTCCAACTTAACTAGTTTGTGACCAGGGCCGAATGCCTGGCACATGGCTGATGGTGGCGGGCTGGCTGGTTCATAAGAGGATTTGGACCAATGCTCTGGCCTGGTTAGTTGATCTTAATGGCTGGTGTCCTGCCGCTCCGATGGTCTAATGCCTCCTCCACTGTAGGGACACCACTAGAAGGTGAGTTACAAGGGGAGTTTGAAGATTTTGGGATGGATTACTAAAGAAGCAAGGGAAAATTTTCCAAACTGAGTTACGAAGGTTCTACTGGCACAAACTGTGTCCTCAAAATGGGATGCTCATTTGCACTAGCTTTAGGTGCAAATAAGTACTCATACTGCCCAGATCACAACACTTCCTTTTGTCCACACTCCTGGAAAGCAGTGAATTCATTTTTTCTTAAGGTTAAAGGGGCTCCTGCTCTGAGTACAAGTGGGCCCTGCCCAACCAAGGTGAAAACGAGGCTTAGTCAATACCTCGACATCCCGTTTCAGTTTCTCCAGGAAGTTCTTTTTACTCTCTTCTCCCACATGTAGCTTCTGCCCTTCATTGAGGAAGTCATTGTCTTTGAATGTTGGCAAGTCCTTGGCCTGAGAGAGCGATAGCAGTGTTAGGCTGGGTAGGCCTGGCTCATTCACCCCAGGGTGTCCTCTGCTGCGGGCAATGGTACAGGAAAGGGAAGGGTCTTTAGCATATAGATGCTCAACCTGCCAAATCAACAACAGTTCAGCACAGAAGGCTACAGTCCCAGGCTCTGGGCAGGTAGGGAAGGCAAATACGTGGCATATACCAGACGATGTGGACTGACCAAAGCCTTCTTTCCTGCTGAGCCTGGACTAAGTCAGGGCTCAGGCAGCCACCAACTGACTCAAGATGGACTATGAGATGGAAACGGTCTACCATCCCTTCAGCACTAAAAGAACCTAATGAGGGCAAAGGTAAAGGGCTGGAGACCAAGGCCTAGGCGTAGGATGAGGACGGGAAGGTGTTTGGTGACAGACTTCATGGTGACAGGTCGCATGTCTGGGGGAACTGGGCTAGGGGCTGAGGTGGGGAAGGGACAGGATGGCCAGCAGAAGGTGTTCCTGGTTTCAAGTAACCCACTCCAGACTTGATCAGCAGAGGTCCCAGCATACCTTCTCCTTGTCACTCGCTTCTCTGGCAACAGTAGAACCCTGAAAGGAATAAGAGCCATCAGGAGAAGTGCCCCAACGCAAATCCACTGCTGTCCAGTCAATTCCAACTCATATCGACCCTACAGGACAGAGTAGAACTGCCGATAGAGTTTCCAAGGCTGTAAATCTTTACAGAAGCAGACTGTGGTTGGTGGGTTCAAACGGCTGATCTTTTGGTTAGCAGCGGAGCACTTAACCATTGCATCATTAGGGCTCCTAGGAGAAGTGCAGCTGAGGCAAATTCCACTGATTGAGAAAACACAAACCAGTCTTTGAGGGGAGCCAGCTGGTGAAGTGAACAGGCAGGTTAGATTCCTAGAGGGGCCAGGAGACAGCAACTTGTCCATTTACTCAGAGCATTGAGAGAGCTCTATGTATAAAGTACATGTTAGGTACTCAGGAAACAGGACCGCACTGGAGAGACTCAAGTCCCTGTCCTTAGGGAACTTTCCTTCTAACAGAGGAGACAGACATTAAGCAGTAGTCACACAATTAATTCACTACAATGGTGTTAAGCGTTACAAGGGAGTCCCTGGGTGGTGCAAAGATCAATGTGCTCAGCTGCTAACCAAAACGTTGGAGGTCCAAGTCCACCCAGAGGTGCCTTGGAAGAAAAGACCTGACAATCTACTTCTGAAAAATCGGCCATTGAAAACCCTATGGAGCACAGTTCTATTTTGACATACATGGGTCACCATGAGTCAGGATCGACTTGATGGCAACTGGTAAGCGGTACAAGGGAGAAGACAGGATACCCTGTGTTTGTGTCCCCACAGAGTATGTGTTGGAATACTAACCCCTATACATGTGGGTGTGATCCCATTTGGGAATAAGGTTTTCTTTGTTATGTTAATGAGGCCATATTGGTATAGGATGTGTCTTAAGCCTATCACTTTTTGAGATATAAAAGAAGCAGATTAGGCACCCAAGCAAGCAAGCACAAACGAAGAAGATACATGCCACATAAAGATCGCCAAGGAACCAAGGGAACAGAAGCTGAAAAAAGACAAGGACCCTCCCCCAGAGCCGGTGCCCTGAATTTGGACTTCTAGCCTTCCAAACTGTGAGAAAATAAATTTCTCTTTGTTAAAGCCACGCGTTTGTGGTATTTCTGCTATAGCAGCACTAGGTAACTAAGACAGCCTGAGAGCAGATAACATGTGGACCTGGTCTGGACTGGGGAGGGGCAGTGGCCAGGGACTACTTCCTGGAAAAAATGATATTTGAGCTGAGCTCAGAAGGGTAAGTAGGAAGTAATTACATGATGGGGGTGGGGTGGGGAGGTAGCTCGGGGAGGGTCAGGGCTGGGAGAGAAAATACTCCAGGCAGAAAAAACAAGCATGTGTGAAAATCTCGGGGAGAAGAAGGAACACGGGCACTGCAGGAATGGATAGGAAACGCACACAGCTGCAGCACAGACTCTGAGGGGAGAGGGGTGTGAGGTCAAAGCAGCTCAGAAGCCAGGTCTTTAGTTCAAGGGCAATGGAGCGCTGTAGTTCACAGTCACCAGTGTGTCCTCCTTGGTGCCCAGAAACACACTTGTGCTGTCAGTCGATGGGGGCCTGGACAGATGCCAGCATGCGTCAGCACAGCCTGTCCCATACTGCTGCCCTCAGCATGCTCATCCCTCTGACAGGAGTTAAGAAGCGTTAATTGTTACATAAATATGGTACATTTAGGGTTTCAACAGCCTCTTGTCACTGTTACTTGGACTTCAAACAGCCTTTGGTCTACAGGAAATAGGCATATGAACTCCAGAGTCACCTGTCATTCCAAAATGTATGCTATGGCTCTCCCAGTTATGTGGGAGTTGGAGCAGCGGCCCCGCCAAACCTCAAGTGGATAACAATCACAGAGCTGGGAAACCCAGAGCCTTTTACCTTGAGGTCATACTTGCGGTGTACAGTGAGCCGATGGCTGAACACGTTCCTCGTGACCACCATGTAGGTCTCCACACCGTCCACGGTCAGGCGGTACATGCCCAGGAACTGCGGCAAAAGGGTGTTGCCATGACATTCCACTATGAACTAGAGTGGAAGGGAGGAGAAGAGGGAAGGCTAAGGAACATATGAAGGTACCCAGGACGGATGGGCTCTCCCTAGCCTAAAATACTCCCTGGATCCCTGAAATGCTAACTTCTACACTAGTGGTTTTTAAAGTGAGTTCTGTGGCATAATAGGGTACAGTGGTTAATGTTATGTGTCAACTTGGCTAGACTATGATTCTCAGTATTATATAATTATCCTCTATTTTGTGATCTGGGAGCCTTGGTAGTATAGTGGTTAAGAGCTATGGCTGCTAACCAGAAGGTCCACAGTTCGGATCCACCAGCTGCTCTTGGAAACCCTATGGGGCAGTTCTACTCTGTCCTACAGGGTCGCTATGAGTCGGAATTGGCTCAATGGCAATGAGTTCGGCTTTTTGGTTTTGTGATCTGACGTAAGGGGAGTTTCCTTGGGGGTGTGGCCTGCATCCAATGTATATGGAAGTTATGACAAAGCTTGCTCACTCACTCTTGATCCTGCATCCGACTTATCATCCTCTGACCCCTGGTTCTTGGGATGTGAGTCAGCAGCCTGCCACCTGATCTGCAGATTTTGGGATTCGCCAGCTCCTGCAAACCTGTGAGCCAGCAGCCTTCTGCCTGACCTACCAATTTTGGGTCCATGAGCCCCTGCAACCACGTGAGTCAGGAGAAGCCTCCAGCCTAATACTTGACCCAGAGATTTGGGACTTGCCAGCCTCCACAACTTTGTAAGCCATTTCCTTGAAATAAATCTCTCTCTATATTTATATATATACGCTTCATTGGTTTTGCTCCTCTAGAGAACCCAGCCTAAGACATAGGGGTTCCTAAGAGATACAACAGGTAAGAGCCACTAGTTGGCACGGCAGGGTGAGAGGCGAGCTGAGCAGGCGATGCAGAGCCCCTTTGGTTTCGTTTTATTGGGATTCCATCTACGATTTTCTTTGAAATAGGATTTGACCACAGGAAAGTCAACTGATCAGGCGTTCCTTCTCCCTGGCTGGTCTGCTATGGGCAAGCAAAGGCAGCAAGGGGACACAGAGGCAAGGCTGTGATCCAGCTGTCTGGGAAAACAGAATGGCTCCATACTAAAAGCTCCTATCCATGCCACATCCCAGGCTTTCCACAGTAATTCCCAAGAGACCAGAAGTTCCCCTCATCACTTCTCAGGCGCCCCAGAAATGAGCCAGCTTTCTCTGCAGACCCAGAGCAGGCTTAGGACAGACACTCAGATGGTGCCACACCACTGTCTGCTTTCCTCACAGACAGGTTCTGGATGAGTGGAGAGAAGTAACAGGAAAAGAAGCAAACCTGCTGAGCTGACGGGACCTCCTTTAGAAGGAATAAGGCAGGTGCCAGAGTGTGAAAACGTCCCAACTCTGACAATCAACAGCTGTTCAGCTGGGGCTGAGTCAGCAATGTGCTTTCATTTCTCCTTTTTTCTTTTTTAAAAGGTAGGCATTCCACCTCGCAGAAATAAGGTGCCACGAGAAGGCCAACTGCTTGGTTATCAGGAGGCATCTGCCATTAGCAGAAAGGGCAAATCCCTCCTTAAGAAGCTCCACCCGGAGCTCTCTTCTCCCTTTTCTAGCCCATCCACTCTACTGCCCAGGCTTGGGACTCACCATACCTGGTGGTATTTCTTTAGGATGTTATGCATCTCAGCCACATCCTCACTTGACACGGTCTTGATGACAAAACGCCGGTCATAGGTGGTGAGGAAACGCGTGCCACACCGGCCCTGGCTGTCACTGTTGATGGGCGCGCTGCGCGTCACTGAATTCTGAAGGCCAAGACAAAAGCAGGGTGGTCTTGGGAGGGGAACAAGAGCATTGACTTACTCTGAGACTTCTCTTATGGGCAGAATTGCTTTAAAGCCAACAGTACTGAGATAGAGGGACTCTCCTGTGGTATCTTATCTACCCCTTTTCTTATGGGAAGTTCACATTCCTCCAAAAGTCTTCCTCAAAGAGTGGCAAGAGCTGTTCTTTACCACATGCTCCTAATTCTAGACTGGGATGTGAACCAGTTTCCTTCTGATCCCAGGGAGCGGCCCTGCAAACTAAAACTCTGCCTAAGATGTTAGGGGACTGGGTTCTATTCCCGACCTTCACACACACTATGACCCTGGGTGAGCCATTTAACATCACTACTCCTAAGTTTCTTCATCTGGAACACAAGGAGGCAGGTAAGCTGATTTCCCCAGTCCCTTAGGGTGACAAAGATGAAGCTTAGGAAATATTTAAGAGATCTAGCATAAAAGAAGCATCAGACACAGACATCTCTTTTTCCTATATAGGCCCTGATGCTGGAAAACTCTTCCTGGAGGAGGAAGTTGAGCCTCATCTGTTTGCAGACACCTTTCCCCTCACCTGAGCCTCAGCCTCAGGCCTGTCTGTGCAGGGTTATGAGGCAGTTTTGGGAAGCTTTTCTGGTTTTGTCCCTGCTCTTCCTCGAGGCCCCATTCCCATTAGGATCAGAGAGCACTAGAAGCCTCAAGAAGGAGAGTGGGGAAGGTGTGAGTAAACCAAAGGGATGTGGTCATCAAGCAGGCGCCAGGAGAAGACGTTTGGGAGGCAAGGCAGAGGTAGAGATCCCAAATGTCCCTGCTCCCAAGAAAACACACGTGGGGCTCTGCTCATAAAAATGCCTCCTCTCCAAGCCCTCTCCTCATTGCTTCCTTAGGATTCTGCTCTAATTCCTTCACCTGATGTCTCCTCACAAAACCTGGTAGAGAAGGAAGAACCACCTTCCCAGGGGAAACTAAAGTCTGAAGTGGGGAGTGGCTCTGGGAGTTCCTCATAAAGGTGCTAAATTAAAGGAACGCACCCCTCTTCCCCAAACAGAATGTTGAGTAGGCAGCATGACTGAGTGTCTCTGTCCTAGCCTGGACCTTCTACTAGTAAGACTTACATGCTGCAAACCCAGTTGGGAAGTATAGTACCTCACTCCCAGGCAGCATTTTCTAACTCTATAAATCACTGGTAGCTCAAGAGCTAGCATCCCCTCCCTGAATACCATCCTCACTGCCCCACTGAAGAACTGAGCACAGTCATCCACTCACAGGCTATCAGAGGCAGAATGCAGACACTGGGAAGATGTGATTAAATGGGCAAGTGGAGAGGAGAAAGCCACAGAGGTGGGGAGATGTCCAAGCAACTTGGGGTTGCAACAACGGCAAGAGGTCTTCAGAAAACCTCAGGCTCCAATCAGGTCATGGTCTAGTTTAGGGTTCGGTCCTACAGAGGGTACTAGAAGGACCTCCCAATACCTCTTAGACATAGACATTCCTAATCGTTCAAGCCCCTAGCATCTTGTCTCCTCATATCCCCATCTTCAGGACAAGGACAAATACCTCTGTGTCTAGGCCTTCTAGAGTGGAGGAGAGAGGGGAGGGAGACTCTTAGCCCAGGCCCATTCTACTTCTTGTGAACTACTCTGTCAAAGGCTTACTGGGAGTAGAGGGGGAGGAGTTACAGTATTTAAAAAGATTTGGGCATCAATTTTAGATTTCACTAGGCTGTGTACTTCTTTTTTTCCCATAGACAACTGAAAGTCAGCTATATTTCTTACTGCTATAATGGTGAAGTGGAAAGTTCTCCCACCTTCACCGCCAGGCTATCTGCCAGAGGAAGAAGGTCCAAGGAGAGGTGCTAGGTGAAGAAGTAACAGAAACCATGAACCATGAGTCAGACTATAATTTCCTTTATATTCGGATTAATTCTACCCAATAAACCAGTGGCCTCTGGCTCTATCGACCCAGAGTCTTATGTCATCATCACCCCTGGTAGGGGGCAGCTGCCCTGCCATGCCTACCCCCCTCCCACCACCAGAACAGGGGACAAGATCAGGAGGTGACACTCATACCTGGCGAGAGGTTACACTACCCTTGAAGTCTTCCTTTTCTAATCTGTCTTATCTGCTTTAAGAGGCCTCATCTCTCGCTGGCAACAATTCTCTCTCTTTTATGTCAAACTACGAAGGAGAAGGGTTCTTCAGCCTAGACTGGGAATGTCAGACTAAATTGAAGCAGCTTCCGCAGACCCCTCTCCCTCCCACTGCTCTCCCTCCCAGGGAGAGGAACCTGAGCCTGTGAGGCATCAGAAGCACTTCTAAGGCCTTTGCCCCTCCAAAAGCCTACCACATACTGGGGAAAGACTAACTGTGGTTGGAGCTGACCATGACAAGAAGACACAGCCCAAGAACAGCAGACACTTCTTTTTTCTACTTGTCCTGTGGCTTGCTGACCCCATCCCACTCCCTAGCCCCTCTAATTTTGCAAAGACATCCCATACCTGGTAATCCTGATCATCAATCCCAAACCTCTCCCGGAGATTTCGGAACACCATGGGACAGTACTCCTTAAACTTAAAGCGACTGGGGAGGTTCTCCCTAGAGAAAAGCAGAGAAATGTCTTTGTGAACTTCTCCTTGCTTATCCTAATTCTTATATCAGAATTTCTCTAAGTACGGGCCACAGATCACCTGGATCTGAAAAGCCTGCATTGCAGGTTTCTAGGCCCCAGGAATCCTGGAGGTGGATCTGGAAATCTGCATTTTAACAAACACTCCAGGAGCTGCTGAAGCTTGTCGAAGTTTTAAAAATTTATACCCGCTGGGTTCACTCTGGAGTCCCCGGGTAGCGCAAACTATCAAGCACTCTGCTACTAACTGCATGGTTGGTGGTTTGAATCTACCAAGAGGCTCCTTGGGAGAAAGGCCTCGTGATCTACTTTTGAAATGTCACAGCCACTGAAAACCTGATGGAGCACAGTTCTTTGACATACAGGGGGTCACCAGGAACTGGAACAAACTTCACGGCAACTGGTTTATGGATGTGTGTGTTTACTTTGTAAAATTAATCTAGCTGTATACTTATGATTTTTGCACTTTTCTGTGTGTATATGTTGGCCTTCAATAAAATTTACATTAATGGAAAAAAGCCTTACCCGCTAGGAAGTGAGCCCCCTCCCCACCCCACAGCACTATCACTTGCTACAGGTAGGGGGCTGCATATGAACATCTGCTCATACCAGCCTGATTGCTAAAAGAAAAGACTTTTCTCATCAAAGGTTCCCTCTCCTCCAGGGATGTTCCTATTGAAACAGCCAGGAAGCCCTGCCCTCGGCTTCCACTGGGATATAGGAAGAGGGTGTTTTAGACTGAAGAGGTCCTCAGTCAATTGACTGGGATCCCATCCTTTCACAAAGCCTTGTTTGCTGGCTGCTGGCACCAATCTCTACCCTTCCACCTCTTCAGCCGATCCACAGACCTGCAGGAGGGAATCACCTTGAAGTGATAGCTCCTCCAAGTCCTCCATCTTTACAACTGCCACCCTGCTTAGGGACTCCCTTTCAGAAATATGTCTCTCTGGCCCTAGGATGATAGACTTCAAGGAAATGAAAAGGAATGGCCTCTCATGAGGGCTGGGGTCTAGTTTGCCTTATTTACCACTGTCTTCTAGTAAACAGCATTGTAGTCTAATAAATAGCACATAAACATCTGTTGAAAGGACAAAAGGAAAAAGAAAAAAGAAAACAAGAGGTTGTATGTCTGCTTTAGGCCAAGATGTTAAGGTGGTGGAACTTCATCAGGGGCCATGGATCCCACAACTGGCAGTGGCAAAACACCCACTTCTGGAGCCCTGACCTCTGGGACAGAACAACCTCCTTTCTTGCCTCTGAGTCAAGGGCTGCCTCTCCTTCCACAGGTGGCCAGTTAGCAGGTGGCAGCTATGGAGACAGACAACTTCTAGAACAAGATGTTACTACTTGTTATGAGAGAGAAGCCACTAAGAGATGTTCTCGAATTAGGCTTCTCCTCCAGGCTAACAGTCTGGGAATGGTGGGGTGACAGGTAGGGACAATGAGACAATGAAGAGTGGAACCAGAATTCAAATGCAGAAAGGAGGAGGCTGTGAGCAGCAAACAATTCCTCGGGTGACCCATAGCAAGGCCTCGAAAGGGTCTAGAGCAGGCCCCTACACTGTGCCAGGTGAGATGGTTGCTGAAATGTCTCCAACAAAGTCTGAGACAACTTTCAGACACTGGTGTTCATCCAAGAAACCACAAAGACCCCAAATGGGAAAAGTTACTCTAGACAGCGCACTTAGGCACCAGGCTCAGCCTCGCGTTCAGCCTGGTGTTCAGCCTGGAGAAAATACCAGCTTGGCTGCATCCCAAACAGGAACATGCCTGGCAGCTTCCTGCCTCAGACTGAGATCAAGATAGGACCACTGCTGCCAGCCTCATACTAGATAACTCAGCTCCTGGGCAGCTCAATTCTACCTGAGCTGGCCTGAGACCAATCACCCTGGGCGCAGCCACATGCCCCAAGGGACACTGAAGGTAGGCTGATAAAGGAATGAGATGATGAGACAATGCTAGGGATAGAGGCACATAATGAATGCATTCTCCCAGCCAGTTCATCAGCTCTGTGATCCAGGTGTTGCTCTCACACCCTGCCAGGTGCTGGCTTGGCCCCCACCATGGATGAGGCTTAAGAAGCTCTCTGGCTGAGGGAAAGGACTGCCCACAAAACCTGAGCCCACTCAGCAGGCAACTTACTTATTGAAGAGATGATTGTCCACCTTGATCTTGCTGTAGGCTTTGAAGTCATCCGGCATTAGCATGACAGGGACAGGGACATTGCTTAGCTCATTGATCTGTAAAGCAAGAGGAAGGTGAGGTTCTCAGCCAGGAGGCTGCTTGCCTTAGATGTTTTTAAGAGGGATACAATATAGATGCCACCATCTTGCCAAAAACTCATCCATTAATTCCCTCGTCTTTCTTTCTGCTGGTGTTGTGAAGTAAATCCCCAACCTCATCTCTACCTATTTAAATTCTCCCTACCTGATAAGCTCAAAAGGCACCTCTTCCATGAAGCCTTCCAGGATTTTCTAGACCATAAGCACTCTTTCCCATCTTGGAATTCCTGAAGCATTGTTTATATCCATCTTTTGGCCACTTCATAGCCTCCCTCATATTGTAGTTAATAAGTCTTGTATTACTGCTAGACTATAAGGTAGGCAAGACCGTATATCTGACCTTTGTAAAGCAAAGATGATCTGATTTTGGGAGCGCCACAGTACTTGGTACCATGACTTGCATATGGCAAGTAATAAATTATCAAATACAATAATAAATGGATGGATGAATAAATGTCACCCCACCTAAGCAGGTATTAAGGACTTTGACTATCTATATACAAATTGCAGGTCTTTTAAGAAATCAGCTTGGGGCAGGGAAAAAGCTGAATGGTATGTGTGGGTGTATAACTCTCATCTCCAAAGTAAAGGATTGAATTCAAAGTGGGGAGAAGAGGCAGACATCTGACACTGGCTCACTCTAGACTCTCCTGATGCAGGCAGGGCCACTTCCCGAAACTCATGTCCTGCCTTATGCTGAACTAGGGTAGATGGGGCAGGATGTCTTGCCCCTACTGCAAACAAACCTCCTCATTGTCTTTCATTCCCCTTCAGGGAGCTGGGTTCCCACTGGTGCAGAGCTGACAGGGTGAACCCTGCCCTTCCCCATCCCCAGTTTAGCCAATTAGTGGTCTGATTAACCACAGATGTCCTATCCCATAGCAGCAGAGTATTTGACATTTGACCCTCAACCCAGTTGCCACTGATGCATCCAGGATTTAGAGAGGAAATCTTAGCCCTGACTTAATGGATGGGGGCAGGAGGGCAGAGCCTTGTGTCTCCCAAAGACCTTCCTTGCAAATCCTATTATCTCAATGAGGCCCCATGTGGCAGAGAGGGAATAACCTAGAACCATTAGCACTCCTCCAGGAGCATAAACAGGGGAAATGGCATTTAATTTGCTGCCCCTTTTATGTTCCAAACCTCTTTAGAAATGTCAGAGAATGGAGGAAGTCCACGTTAATGTAGTATACTAACTGAGCCTGGAAAACCAACTTTCATGGGGAAATGAAGGAAGGGGTAGGCATGTGTGTATAGGGAGGGGGGCAGTGGGTGGTATTTTAAGTTGGCAATGGGGCAGAGACTCAATAAAGTGCTGGCAAAAAACTGACTGGCACAAACATAAGAGTATATATTGTATGATTCCATTTGTATGAAACTCTAGAATAGGAATCTACAGTAAGAAAAACCAGGTAAGAGGCTGTCTGAGTTGGGCTGCGGGGGGAAGAGGGGAACTCACTGTAAAGGGACATCAGAGAACTTTCTAGGGTGACAGAAATGTTCTTTATGTTGACTAAGGTGATTGTTACATGGTGGATACATTTGTTAAAACTCATCAAACTATACACTTAAAATGTGTGCATTTTATTGTATGTAAATTATTCCTCAATAAAGTTGATTAAAAAACTTCCCACATCCAGGGCTGTGATGCTTTCCATTGGCCAAACCCTCCCAACAGCTGAAAAAGCAAGGGGGAAAAAAAAGTCAGCATGCCAGTTCCCATTCCAGGGGGTGCTCACAAGAGAACCTGATCGTTACATTGGTGTCTATGGAGGAAACCATTCCACTTCCTCGTTTTCCTCGCCAACAGAAATAATTCATTGTGGCCATCCCACTTCCTTTTTCCCAGCATATCAAGCCTGGCTCTGAGAGTTAAAGGGAAATAGGGACAAAGAGGTTCAGGGTTCAAAGAGTATGGTTTTATACTAGAACGTGAGAGTATCTGCTACAAATCCATTCTGGGTTAGCCCAAAATCTAGACTTGGTGCCAAAGTCAGGTCTTGCTACTGGGGGAACTAGAAGAGACTACAGCACTGGCTTGAGAGGGGCCAACTGCCAGGATGATTATTCTACCAGGGGCTATTCAGGAATGCCCTAGGCATCCACCCTCTGTAACCCCTGGTGGAGCACAATGTGAATGGTTGGAAGTTGGTCAGCTTTTAGTGCTCACTTCACCTCTATTCTTGATTATGCAGCCCAATGGCAGGACATTTCTCACTTGGAAAATACATATCTGAATTAGATAGACTCATGAATGTACTCCTCATTTCTACTGGGCAACATGGAGATCACTCTAGGGATCAGCTGTATGATTTTTTTAAGTTGTGATATATTTTATAACTCCAGAGTTCTATTTGATTTCAATTGAAAAAGTGCTTATTGAAATACCTATGTACTCCAATCTGTGTTAGGTATGTGAATGGGAGGAGGAAGGCTCAAGGTGGAAAGTGCTATACATACAAATGAAATAGGAGGCTTATACTCTTATCAGGGAGATGAGACAAACCGTGACACAGTGAAACTCCAAGTCAAAGCAGTATACAGTTAAGTGAGAATACAGGGATATAGACATCAAGAACAGCAGAGGTTCAGAGGAAGGTAAAGTTAGCACGGTCAGTCAGATTCCCATGGCCCTCACACATCAAGCTAGAAATAGTGTACTTAAATGACACTGGAAGAAATCTACAACAGGATCGTGTTACACTCCTGCTTAAAATTCTTTCACGGCTCCTCATCAAGCTCAAGATAAAGTTTTAACTCCTTTGCCTGGCATTCAAGGTCTTTCATGATCTGGCATCTGGCTCAGACTCTGCTGCAGGGCTTCAAAATGGTTCAAGCACTTCTAACACATTCCCAGGCAATCCTAATGCTACTGGTTAGGGACCAACTCTGAGAACCACTAGTAGAGCACTGGTTCTCAAAATTTGTTATACAAGAATCACCTTGTTAAAATGTAGATTCTGATTCATTATATATGGTATGGAAACGCAAATTCTCAGCAGGGGCTCGAGCTGGAATGAACCAGTTCAGTTCTGAAGCCCTGCTCTGCCAAACTTCTATTTACTTCTACTCAATGTAATGAGGACCTTACTGTACGCCAGACTGTGCTAGAAGCTGGGAATAAAACAACAAAATGACAGAGTCTCCATTTGGCTGGGAAAAGAGACAACAAATAACTCCAATACAATGTGATGAGTGCTATAACTGAGTTTCCGAATAAAGGAAGATGGAAAAACTGATTAAGAAATGATTGCTTCTGCCTGGGAGTGGGCGTGAGCGAGTTGGATGCTAGAGGAAGCCACAGAGAAATACATTTGAGTAAGGCCTAGGATGACAGCTCTCAGACAGATGAGGGGAAGGGTATTCCAGGCTGTAAAAACGGTCAGAATCAAGCTTCAGATTCATATAATGCCCATTTTAGGAATGGTGAGTGCTGGCGGGGAGGGAGGACAGCAGGGTACGATAGAGGTAACAGGGAGTGGAGGGAGGCAATACTGCAAAGATAGGTAGGTGGCCTCAAGTATTATATTAATAAATAACAGCCACTTCTACTTATTGACTGCCTCTAAATGGTCGATGCTTTATAGTATATTATTACATATCATATATATTATGTATATTCTATTCTGTGCCATTATTTCTAATATTTACAAGAGTCATAAAGTATTAATCTGATTTTGCAAGAGGTTCAGAGAAGCTGGGTACCTTGCCTGAGGTCAAACAGACAGTACATGCAAAACCAGGATTTGATCCAGGCCCGTCTGGTGCCAAAACCTGGGTTCTTTATACTGTGCTGTGCAATCTTTCCCCTGGATAGCTACCCTGACTGAGGTCGTGTTTTCCATTCCTTGTCTCTATCCTAATAATCCTGCAAGGAAAGTCTTACGCCCGTCTTATAGAAAATAAAAATGAAGTTCAGGAGAAAAAATTACTACTCCAAAACCACACTACTACTAAGTGGCAAAGTCTGGATTTGAACTTAGGTTTGTCCACTATATGAGAAGTTTGGACTTGACTATGTAGGAAATGGGAAGCCCTCTCAGATTTTAAGCTGAGAATTCACATGATCAGATGGGTGATACAGAAAGGTAATTCTGTACCAATCAAAATCATGTAAGGATTGGAACGGGCAAAGATATCACTTATGGAGCCATTACAACTGTCCAAGTGATAGGCTGCGGCAGCAAGAATAAAAAGGGTAAAACTAAGAGAATCATCTAAGACCTGGCTAAATGACACTCCTCTGTAAGAGCGTCCCTGTCTCCTGCAGGTGGAATTAGTTACACATTTTTATATTACACATCTTTATATTCCAAATATCACTTTCACTTGACTTGGGTAATGACTTGTTTACGTGTCTGATTTCTCCACTAGGCAGTGAGTCCCCAGAAGGAAGAGGCTCTATCATAGCCATTTTTATGTCTCTAGCACAATGACTGGCACAGAGCAGCTGCTCAATAAAAGCTGGATGGAGGGATGGATGGAAAAAAGGAGGGAGCCGGGAACTGAAGGATGAATAACACTAGGATAAACAAAGAAAAGAGACAGCAAGGCTGCTGTGACTATACCCACGGGTTCATGGTCTGGAGGAGAGGGAAAGAAGGTTAAGGTTAGCTGTGAGTCGATGGCCAGACTGTAGAGTCTTAAATGCCAAGCAGAGAAGAATGGGCTTTATCTGGTAGACAACGGGGAGCGACTAAAAGTTTTGAAGCATGAAAGGTCGTGACTAAAGCAATGTTTCAGGAAGATTTGCCTTTCCTTTACTATCTAGCACATTTCTGGGCCAATCTCTTTCACCTTCAACAGGAATGCACTTGTGGAATGTAAACTCATTCAAATATCAGGCTAAGCACAACACATTAGGAAGGTAAGTGTGTTGTAACTCAGAGCCACATAAGTAGTTTTTGGATTATCCACACGATTAACTGCGTGCATCCTCAGCATAAATAATGAGGAGG